TGTGTGTGTGTGTGTGTGTGTGTGTGTGTGTGTGTGTGTGTGTGTGTGTGTGTGTGCAGGTACAGTGGTTGTTTTCGTCTAAACCCATGTGTTTAACTGATTTTCTGTCTCCCCTCACACCTCCTCTCCTCCTCCTCTGTATCAGCGGGCCAACACTGATCTCACCTCTGCAGCAGCATGAAAACAGACACATGAGCTGGAGGAACATCTGGATGCCAGGAGATGAGAAACGACTCGCTCAGCCTCATTTTTTTCTCTCTCCGGCTCTCCTTATCGCTCCTCTTTCTTAAAGAGGAAAGTGAACAAATTTGCTTCTGACTTAAAAATAAAGATAGATGAAGCAGTTGGGTTGAAAGATGCACTGCGTTTTCTAAAAACACGTAAAAAAAAAAGCATGAATGCCGACACTCAAACCACAGATGCTGAGTTCACTGAAATAAATCGAAACATCAACTTGATTCAAGCTGGCCACCACAGCTGACCTCAGCAAATATGGCCACAACTAAGTGACTCAAACAGCTAAAAATGTTTGGTGGTAGCTGAGAGTCATCCTCACATGATCTGAGTTCCAACAGGTTGCACAAAATGTGCATTGAGGAGACATGCATTTTAAAATAATAAAACTTCACAGTGACGCAACCCTTTTTAACAAAGCAAATAAAGTCATTTGCAATAATAATGAAGTAAACAAACATGTATGGAAGCATAAAGCTGCTTCAAATGGAAAAACTTACTTTAAATAAACCTGAAACCTGGTTCCAACTCTCAGATAACATCACCTGACCAGACACAAAGGTAAATCAGACCTAACGTCAGAGGATGTGCCTCACATCTGGCAGCAGCTGGACTCTGGAGTATTTATGAGTCAGAGGTGGGCGTGTGTCGAGGGTGCAAAGATCCCACAACTCACAGGCCCCACCTCAGATGAACGGATCCCATCAGGGGGCTCAGAACCAGAACCAGAACCACAGCTGTGATCTGAGGGAGCTCAGGGAGCAGGGAGGAGAGGACGAGAGTCCTGAAGTCATCACTTCACTGTGTGAGTCTGGGACCAGTTTTCTACAATCAACAGGTTTTCTGCAGTCACATGAAGCTTTGATGTGTTTTAGCAGGTTTGACTCAAGCTTGTCGCAATATTCTGACTTTAATCTGCCCCTGAATCTCATTAAAATATCAAGAATCTCAAAACAATGAGTCACCAGCTCCTTGTTGATTAAAAAGCCACAAAACGTTGTTTAGATGGAATCTGTTTTGTTTCCTGCTTTGACTTGTTCTTCTTTCTGCCGGTACCTGCTGCATTGTTTTTCCACAGTCAGACTCAAATCTGAGAGGAAAAAGAGAAATATTCTCTTCTCAGAACAAAAACACTGATTCAGCTCGCAGAAGATGGTTGTGTTATTTTATTCTGTGTCCAAAATCAGGCCAATTATCAGCTCTGCTCTGCTTGGATCAAGGCCATGTTGTACAGGACACCTGTTGTTGCTCATAGTTTCTTTCCTTCTTTTAGCTGCAGAGGTTTTGAACATTAGTACATGTGCAACATTAAGATCCCATCGGAAGTTAGTCAGGTTATTAAGAATCCCTCAGTTTAGTCGACCAGTGTGGATGCATTTGCAGTCAGACTGGTGTTTGTGTGCAGCAGGTGTCGTGTTTAGTTTTGTTTTCAGGGTGAACAAAGAACCAGAAGTGATTAAAACGCTGGAGGTGAAACGAGGACCGTCTACAAATTAATGGCAGCAGCAGATTGTAGTTAGATCATCCAACTTGGAGGTCATTTATTGACTCATGCCAAAAACTCTGTCTTTTCACACACATAAATGAAGAAAAGTATTTACGGGTTTGTTTTCAAAAACATCAGTACAAAATGATGCAATCAGGAAGTCTAAACAGGAACACCAACGTTCTGTTTTTAGTTACTGAACTTGAGCAAAAGGGGATATCTAAAAAAACAGAGTTGTAAAGTAACTAAGTACAAATACTTTATTACCGTACTTAAGTAGAAATTTTGGGTATGTGTACTTTACTTGAGTAATTATTTTTCAGCCTCGACACCTTACATTTTTTTAAAAAAATGCAAGAAGTAGAAAGTCGTTACTTTTATTTCATTTTTGCTTGTTTTCATTCCAGCTTGTTATTGAAAAAATAAATACCATCCATATAAATTGTGCCTCCTAGATAGAGTGGATTTAATTGTGGTCAAATGAGARGTATAAATATATAAAATTCTGATACCGTATTAGTTTCATGTTACACTCCAGAAGGACATAACCATTAAAATAAAATAACTGTACTTACATATTTGTATTTCATGAATTATATTATTGCATGTGGCTGCAGCCCTCGGATAGATTTTCATTTCATTTCTGCATTTTATTTTATTTTTTTACTCAAGTAACATTCCTGAAGGAGACTTTATCTTTTACCGAAGTAATTTTTTTGGCAAGATGCTTGTACTTTTACTCAAGTATCACTTTGTGGTACTTTATACAACACTGGAAATACAGTGGTTTGCAAAAGTATTCATACCCCTTGAACTTTTCCATATTTTGTCACATTACAACCACAAACATAAATATATTTCACTGGAATTTAATGTGAAAGACCAACACAAAGTGGTATACAATTGTGAAGTGGAAGCAAAATTTTACATGAATCAAAACATTTTTTACAAATAAAAAACTGAAAAGTGCGATGTGCAAAATTATTCAGCCCCCCTGAGTCAATACTTTGTGGAGCCACCTTTTGCTGCAATTACAGCTGCAAGTCTTTTAGGGTATGTCTCCACCAGCTTTGCACATCTAGTGACTGCAATTCTTGCCCATTCCTCCTTGCAAAACAGCTCAAGCTCAGTCAGATTGGATGGAGAGCGTTTGTGAACAGCAGTTTTGAGATCTTGCCACAAATTCTCAATTGGGTTTAGGTCTGGACTTTGACTGGGCCATTCTAACACATGAATATTCTTTTTTTTAAACCACTCCATTGTAGCTTTGGCTTTATGTTTAGGGTCGTTGTCCTGCTGGAAGGTGAACCTCCGCCCCAGTCTCAAATCTTTTGCTGACTCCAACAGGTTTTCTTCCAAGATTGCCCTGTATTTGGCTCCATCCATCTTCCCATCAACTTTGACCAACTTCCCGGTCCCTGCTGAAGAGAAGCACCCCCAGAGCATGATGCTGCCACCACCATATTTGACAGTGGGGATGGTGTTTTCAGAGTGATGTGCAGTGTTCTTTCTCCGCCACACATAGCGTTTTGCATTGTGGCCAAAAAGTTCAATTTTGGTCTCGTCTGACCAAAGCACCTTCTTCCACATGTTTGCTGTGTCCTCAACATGGCTTCTGGCAAACTGCAAACGGGACTTCTTATGGTTTTCTTTTAACAATGGCTTTCTCCTTGCCACTCTTCCATAAAGACCACATTTGTGTAGTGCACGACTAATTGTTGTCCTGTGGACAGTTTCCCCCACCTGAGCTGTGGCTCTCTGCATTTCATCCAGAGTCACCATGGGCCTCTTGGCTGCCTCTCTGATCAGTGATCTCCTTGTTCGGCCTGTAAGTTTAGGTGGACGGCCTTGTCTTGGCAGGTTTACTGTGGTGCCATACTCTTTCCATTTCCGGATGATGGATTGAACAGTGCTCCGTGAGATGTTCAAAGCTTGGGAAATCTTTTTATAACCTAAGCCTGCTTTAAACTTCTCCAAAACCATATTCCTAACCTGTCTGGTGTGTTCTTTGGACTTCATGATGCTGTTTGCTCCCCAATATTCTCTTAACCAACATCTGAGGCCGTCACGGAGCAGCTGTATTTGTACTGAGATTAGATTACACACAGGTGGACCCTTTTGAGTCATTAGCAGTCATCAGGCAACTTCTGAATGCAATTGGTTGCACTCAGGGAAAAGGGGGCTGAATACTTTTGCACGTCGCACTTTTCAGTTTTTTATTTGTAAAAAATGTTTTGATTCATGTAAAATT